CTCCATTTGTGTGAGCAGCGGGCATATGTGCCACCACATATGTGTGCAAATGGAGCTGTGTGCACTTGCCCACAACTCATGCGGAACCATCCCCTCCCCCCCTCGCCCCACTAGTCCTCAAAGCTTGGGGAAAGCTGGCCTAAAGAGATTTCTTGTGTGATTCCTCTCCCTCTGTCATAGTGTAGAAAGATTGCTTAAACAAGGGGGGGGGGGATGTTTGATTTAATAGTGATTGTCCTATGGTCATGTGATTGTCATTTGCAACCTTCACATCCAGCTTCCCAAAAATAAAGTCAGGAATAAAGTGCAGGAAGACACAAGTCATAGTCATAAACTGATTAGATTAACCAGGGAATTGATGAACTGATATTATAAATCAGGCACTACCTGATGTTTCACTTTCCTATAGAATTACTGCTCCAAATTATGATCAGCAAGTGATTAGTACCTCTAATTTGAACTGTTGATATGATCTGGGAAAGGGAATTAATTGGCAGTGTCTGCACGGAACACCAAAATCTACAAGATGGTAACCACATCAAGTGTCAAACCCCACCACTTTTCTATCATGATGCTACAGTCACCATTTTGCAGAATTGTACCTCTATGGCAGACCCAGATGCCGGTCTCACTGAGATTAATTAAGACACAGGAATAAAACTGAAGAGATTGCAAGAAACTAGTGGAGTATCAGAGTATTACGAAAGGATCAAACACAACATTGTAAGGCCAAATGGGACTTGAGCAAATATATATTTATATTTTTTATGTAGAGGAGATAGGGAGCTACTGCCCTCTGCTTTATTCTTGGTGTGAGGCTTTTGAGGTGGGTTTGGCATCTCCTCACCAAAGCCCCCTCCTTCTATCATCATTCAGTCCTCTAGGATATTCTCTCACCACTTTGGAATAACAGTGCAGAATTTTCCACAGGAACATATCAATCTCTGAATGGCATGTCTCGAACTATTTTGCAAACACATGTGGTAACATGTAACAAGCAGGAAGGAAGAATAATTGTTAATATGATTAAGAACTAATGAGCAAATTTCCATTCTCATACATGGGGGAACAATACCAAGATATGAACCTTTTGGATGAACATAGCACAGAACGCATGGACACTAAACCGTTTTTAATTATCCTTTAAGAATATACTAACTATGGAGAAATATAGAAGCAGTAAAAAGAAATGTTACCTGTGTACATTCTTTGCCCATTTTTTCAGAGTTTCTACTGACAGACTTGCATCCAATTCCCTCTCTTTTTTAGGATCAGGCAAAACAAAAAAGGTGGTGGCTGTACCATTGTAGCCTATCATCAGTACTGTGCAAGATAGCTGCTCGTCAAAATAGTAGTAAAACCAACCGGTCCTGTGCATCATTTGGACTTTGACAGTTGTGTTGTGATCCACAAAGAAGTCCTCTTCCCTTGTGAACGCTGGATCAAAAGGAGTCTTCCAGTTGCCTAAAGAGAACAAAAAAGACCCATAGTCGTATCTGAATAAGCGTATCAAACCTGCAGGAGGCGAATTAGGTTCACCCTCAAGAAGATGCTGTGCTCTTCTTTACTGAGGCAAAGAGGTGGTATAATTTAACTAGTAAGATGCTCTGCATTCATTTGCTTATGCTGACCAGCACTTGCAAAGCTGGGACCGATTTCTGCACACGCACAGCATAAATACTGGTCAGGCAGTGAAGCAATGCAGCTGCTGTATTGGTGTCAGAAGAAAATGGCCAGGTACCTTCTTTCATGATACATTTTACTTCAGCCTTGGTTGAAGATAAAAACACCCATTCTAAATTCTGCACAGCCCTATGGACTTATATGCTATTCAGATATAGAGAGGGGTAGCCTGTGATCTTACATCAAGAAGAATTATTTAGAATAGTCCGTCCATTTCTCTTTTTGTTGTTTTTAAACTCTACAAGGGTACATTTTAGTTGCATTTATAATCCAGTTTTATGAAGAACTGGAATAATGCCCACTAGTCTGAGATAATATCAGTTATGCCACTTTGGATAAGAGGTCTTTCTCTTAGGTGCTTTTCAAAAACTGGAACCACCATTCCTAAAATAATACCACAGAAGTGAAAAACCATGTAATGTAGTTACAAACAGTGCACAGTTTCTGTTTCGTACAACCCCCAGTAGTGAAGTAGTTATACAATAGCTAAAGAATATACTTAAATTTCTGTACTGTGGTAGTTTTTCAGTGCATGTACTTTGTGTTGATTAGAAATTATGTTTTTTTTTCCTGAATTTGAGCAATTCCATCCCTCATTCACCAAACTTAAAAAGCTTTACTCTGTCTCAAATAGCATCTTTGGATATTTCCTTTAGTGAAGGAATCATTCCTTTTCCTTGTGAAGGTTACCTCTAAAGTATATGTAGTTTGTGAGAACAAAGACTGTTTCTGGGTCAAGATCCTTGACTAGTTCTGCAATTTTCCCGTGTGTTTTTTTCTTTATATAATCATTGATCTGCTTTTCAGCTTCTTTTGGTTCCTGAAACTTGGTGGTTTGGATTTCTGCTTCATAGAGTTCCTTAATCTTATCTAAAAATGTCTGCAATGGCTGTATGCCTTCCTTTAAAAACAGGGCCTGCCCAATATCCAGCTTGTAATCCTTCTCTGAATGCGTAAGCACATGGAGAAGTTCATGAAACCCCTGGTGGATCTCATCTTCCTGAATGTGTGTCAGGTTAAAGCCAAGGCCATTTAAAATCTCTGCATGAGTGTTAGAGTCTGTCCCTAATAACAGAACTGAAAGCAACATAGAAATGCTGCAGGGTGAGAAAATAAGGTTCTCTTCATGTGATCTTGCAGCCAGGATTTTGTAGAGTTCAATGGTAAAATCAGCAACATTGCGCTGGATCTTGATAGCAGCCTTAGGGTCATGATGATCGTGGGGATGATCGACATCATGGTGGCCATGGCTGACGAGAGAAAACACCATCAAGGCCAAGCTCAGGTGAATGATTCTGTTCATCTTGCTGATAATTCGTTCTGTAAAAAAAAAAAAAAAAAAAAATTGGGATAAAGAAAGAACTTTTATCATAAACTGTGTTTGTAAAATACA